TGGGGTAATCTGGATGGGTGTGTCAGAGGCAATGAGATTGGTACAGGATAGAGCACGGTTTAGGGCTGTTGTACATAGGGTCGCTATGAGTTGCAAACGACTCGACGGCACATAACAACAACAACAAGTTGTAGGCAACAGAATGGCACATAACAACAACAACATAAACAAAACTATTTTCTAGTTAATGTAATAATTCTAATTCATTGACAATACCTTATCCTATGATGGTTAAATTTAACGTGATTTGTTACATTTTGATGATGGCATAGAAAGCTCTTTATGGCTAATTAAAGTAATATGATTTAGGAAAGGTGAAGAAAATTAAACTTAGGAAATTCTAAGACTAAAATTACTTGTTTTATGCTGGACTTGCATAATTATACAGTTGAGAGCCACAAAGGAGGATCTGAAACGTGAATTCGGTTTGGGCCAGCAGATCACTGAATGAGAAACAACTGGTGACTGATGACAGGAGTTATGTGGTGTATATACATGTAACACTTGGTATGGTTCACCAAGTTTTCAGTCAATTTAGGTTATTTTTGGCAAGTTAATTGTTCAGTAAAGAGACAAAATAAAGACAACATCACTTAGGTTTCCAGTGGGAGCATTTCTTTTTATTTCTCCCCAAACATTAGCAAATAAACTACCTAAATGGTCAACCAGGCCAGAGTTAATTTCCCCTCAAGTAGCTGCTTGTTTTGAGAGGGGCAGAATATGACTGATATTTAATTAAAAAATCATCCGCAAAACAAAGTATTTAAAGGCTTCATTTTAAAGTCAGCCTTTAGCAAACCACCCCTGCGAGGTAGTTGTACACAGAAGGAATAAATTTACGTCGCCCAAGAAAGTGTTGCTCTGAATCTTGACTTGAGAAAGTCAGGTAAGAAGAAGAACAATGAAAAATGCCATGCAATCATCAGGTTACTGTATCTCTATGATGTTCAGGTCTTCTGACTGCTAAGAAATGGAATTTTTTTTGCCACTTCAATTGAATTTGGTAGTTACTTCTACAGCATGGGCATTGTGTAAGAATTTGCCCCATTCTTATTCCCTCAGGTGAGACTCCATTTTTAAATTTTATAACAAGAATGTTCACATCAAGAGCTAGAAAATGAATACCAATATATCAATTCCAGGAAAGGGAATGAGTCATTTCCACAACATAGTAGTAATAGAAATGAACCTGTGATCTGAACGTTGAAGCTCTTGCATTCAAGCCTTACTAGGTAAGGAGTGGCTCTCATCTGCCTGCCCTTCTTAAAATATGGTCTTTCTCTTTTTTAAAGACTTTGTTGTTTCTTTCATGGATAGGCAAACACTATACAATCCCACAGTTCTTCTACAATACATGGATACTTGCCAGCAAGTATTTCCTCTGTGTTGTGTGCTGATATTTACCAAATGAAAATGTCTATGCCACTAACATCCCAGAGGCAAATTCCATTTGTGGTCTATCATCTCTGAAACAATAGAGGTATATTAACGACTATAGACATTGATAAGAAGACACCTTTCACTTCAGACTAACTTGTCTAAAAAAATCAGACAATTATTTCAGAGTAGGTCATTGAAGGATTCATAATTAATACCCTTGGTATGAACAGTCAAGAAATAAGGAGACACATTACACTGGGAAAATCTGCGATTAAGGAACTCTCCAGATTACTGAGGAATAATGATGTCTGTTTGGGGACTAATGTGCATCTGTTTCAGGTCATAGTCTTTCCAATTACTTGCTATGCAGCTGAGACCTGGACAATGAATAAGGATGACAGGGTTGTGGTGTTGGAGAAGAGCACTGAACATCCCATGGATGGCCAAGAGAACTAACTCACATACTTTGGACATGTTGCTAGGAGGTGCTATTCTTTGGAGAAGGACATGATACTGGGAATAGTGAAGGGTCAGTGAATGAGAGGAAGACCCTCAACAAGGTGGACTGGCATGACTGCTGCAGTGGGCTCTTGTGTGTCAGGATAGAGCAGGACAGAACTGGGTTAAGACCTTTTGTTCATAGGGTCGCTATGAATTGTGCTCGACTCGAAGGCACCTAACAACAACATTGAAGGATTAAATTTTTTTTCATTTTTCCTTTTCATCTGTTATATTAGCTTTACCTCTTCAAGAAATGTTTTATTGCTGAAATTTTATAGAAGTTGAAACTTTTCATTTGTAGAAAGTTCAAATGAACATCAGAGAAAACCTCCCCTTGACATCTAGATGTTTTCTGACTAGTCTAAAGGGCACTGTGTTAAGTCATTTGTCTCTCTTTGCTGTTGATTTCTTTAACTTTAGTATTGGACATTATGTTGAAGTAAAAAAAGAAAAAGAAAAAAAATATACCCCAAGAGTTCTGTCTGAGATTGTTACATAAAATGGGTACCTGAAGGTAGAGTGATGGTAATCCAGGACCCAATGGAGAGTAAAGTCAAACTTCTTTCTTTCAATTCTCATTTTTATGACTCTAAAAGCTAGTAAATAGGGGAACTGGACAGAGTCAAAAGCAATCCAGTTTCTTGATAGAGGATCTGAAAAGAGAGTTTAGTTTTCTTTAGCTTTTTTACTTCAATGCTAATTTCTTAGGCATCTTAATCTATGTCATCATGCAAGTTACATGTGAATTATTTTTGCATTGTTGGAAGAGAATCTAGAAGGTGGTGGAGAATTTTTTTTTTACCTTGAGCTGCCCTTTCATCTCTGCATCACCATTATTGTCATCTTTATCTTTGTCATCATCTTATCTTGGGGACTCGAGCTGACTAAGCAACTTGGTTGGTTGATGGTTCCTAGTAGTGTCATCAAGAATTATCTACTAAAAAAAATTACCTATTCACAGTTCACTTTGGCCTCTAATTATGACCCTTTTCGTGTAGTGTCTGAATCATTTTGTTCATGATTCACTGTGGAATGTATCAATTGAGCAGTGATCCTTATTCATCACCTACTAATTCCCCAGAGAGATCTGAATTATTGCATCCCTCACACTTTTACAGTGGCATAGATTCCTTTGCTGAAAACCCAGGAATATTTATTTAATATATATAGATATCGATTAGAGATATAGAGATAGTT